CAAAGAAAAATATGATAAACATCCTCGTTTTGACCACAAATACAGTTAGGAGATTCAATGATATTCCTTCTGTAAACATTTTTTTTTTTTTCTTTTTGGATTGTTTGGTTGTCCCCACCTATATTAAACTCAGAGTAAATGCAGAAAATGTTCATCCTTTAAAACTGCTTAAATATCTACACCCGACTATGCACCAGACCAGGCTGAATATCACACTTGTATACATATATCATGCAAAACACTGAACAGCACTGAGTAGACTCAGATTATCTTCACATTGTTTGCGCATCGATTCTGGTTCCACAAATGAACGAAAATGCTTATTTTGTATTTGGAACGACATCAAAAAATGAATGTCATTTTGTTCTAATGTGTATTTTTTAATGTTGAGTTAAGAGAAAAATATATATATATGTTTCTATTTTTATGCAAGGCCTATTATGGTAAAATTTATTGATCTACTTCATTGCGGTTAAAAAAAACCTACTTTAAAAACTCTGTGTTTGAATGTTTTAAAAATTGTGTTACAAAGCCCCTCTGTAACATCTGTTGATCAATGTTTATAAACCGTTATCATACTTTTGTGGCAATACATGTATGTAATGTAAACGCCTCATTTTTTCGATATAACATTTTAATTGATGATTCCATTGAATGTAAGAATATAGATATATCGTATCGAACAATATCATAAGTTAGTCCCCCCGAACACATAGATTTATACATTTAAACACAGAAAAACTGAACTTTTTCTTGATGATAGGCCAGTCATTGAAATATTGGATTATATGATCAATAAGGTTGTAGGTTAAATATAGAATCATATCGATAATAAGTTTTTAACTGGCGTGTCTATGAATGTGTATTTTTGCAAGTGAATTATATTGTGTATAAAGAATATACGTTTCTGGTGTGATGTATTATGAAGGTATCTTTTCTAAGGAGTTTTGGTGGCCGTGAAAACGGCCGTTTTTGTTTGTCTTAGACAAGATTAGGGTGTTTAAGCTCGTTCGCCGCGGATACGTCTAGCAAGCTGAATGTCCTTGGGCATGATGGTCACTCTCTTGGCATGGATAGCACACAAGTTGGTGTCCTCGAAGAGTCCGACAAGGTAGGCCTCACTGGCTTCCTGAAGGGCCATGACGGCGGAACTCTGGAAACGCAGATCGGTCTTGAAATCCTGGGCAATTTCACGCACTAAGCGCTGGAATGGGAGTTTCCTGATGAGTAACTCAGTGCTCTTTTGGTACCTCCTGATCTCACGGAGAGCGACAGTTCCTGGCCTGTATCTGTGTGGTTTCTTCACCCCACCGGTGGCCGGTGCACTCTTGCGGGCTGCCTTGGTAGCCAGCTGTTTTCGTGGGGCCTTGCCTCCAGTAGATTTTCTTGCGGTCTGCTTGGTACGTGCCATCTTCTCTGTGTTCAGATCAAATGAATGATTGGTACGCCGTGTCAGGTATAATTTTATACTGTTCTGTGACCTGCGGATCCGATCTTACATTGAAATCACCGCGCGTGTAGTAAGAATGTTTTTAATTGGTCCCTGTGTTATACAAGGCACCTTATGATTAGCTAAGCACAGCGTGTTTCGATTGGTCTTTGCTGAAATCATTTCGATCCACATTTTGCAAAGAATTTTGTGCTTCTTTTTAAAAATCACGGTATTATGACAGTTCAATGTTTTTATGACTTATTGGACAAGGTGTGCAGCTAAGATATCAAATGATAATTCAAATGATTGAAATAAAAGATATACTCTTCCGTGGTTTTTTATTTATTTATTTTTGTTTAATTTATCATTTTATTATATTTTATAATTATTTTATAATTATCATTTTGTTGTTGGATTACCTGCTTTTCCCCACAGAGCAGTAGTTTTCATCCTAAAAATGTCTCATTTAATGTATCAACAAACACAAACCTTTCTATTTTAATAAAATTAATGCTTATCAAAAAGGATTTTATTCATTAATATTAATTATTATTTTCTATCCTTTATCCAAGAATCAGTGTTTTATAAAAAGAGGTTAGACAGACTGTATATGTATTAATTTGAATATTTAATGAACTAGGTTTCACTTTGTGTGTGTGTGTGCGTCTTCTTTCTTTTCTTCCACGACTTTTAAAGATATAATCATATCCTGCACTTATAAGAACCTGTTTAGGGGAAAGGAATTTTGTAAGCAGCTTCTTGTGTTTCATGTGTTATATCTACAACGCACGAGGCTTGTGATAATGTACAGGGTGTCCGACAGATGCATTAAATGCATTGCATTTCAAAAATAAATCTTAAGAGTCCTTGAACAAGTCATCATTTCATTTTCAAATTGATAAAAGAGCTAGCTTTGAATAAAGGAAATGGGGGGGGGGGGGGGGAAGAAAAAGAAAAAAAAGAAAGAAAAAGAATAAAAAAAAAAATGAGTAGAAATCATACAATGAATGTGGAATTTGGAATGGAATTACATTGCTATCATGTCTACATGTATGATAAAAATAAAATCATATCTGCATTTAATGCATTGATATAGGAAATCATGCTCTCTGTTTCTAAATATTATAATTATCAAATCTCTCTCTCTCTCTTCCCCCTCTCTCTCTCTCTTTTTACAGGAATATACACATTCAAATACTTTTATTTTGTTGTTGTTCAAGAGGGCATGCTGCATTTGAAATTGTTTAACAAAATATAGAATTTGAGATAGAGATACATGTTGAAACATTTTCTAACGACCGTAACTGAGGTATCTTTTCTGAAAATTTTGGTAGCCCTGAAAAGGGCTTTTTCTTTTTTACAAGCTTGGATGCAGACTGACAGGGATGCTCAGACTGCTTATTTCTTTGCTGCTGCCTTCTTGGGTGTCTTGGTTTTCTTGGCTGCTGTTTTCTTAGGAGTTTTGGCCTTCTTGGGTTTGGTTGCAGCCTTCTTTGGGGACTTGGGTGTCGCCTTCTTCTTGGGAGATTTGGCTTTCTTGGGTCCGGCTGGTTTCTTGGCTGCTGCTGCTGCCTTCTTCTTAGGAGTCTTGGCCTTCTTCTCACCGGCGGGTGTCTTGGGCTTAGCAGCGGTCTTCTTAGGTTTAGCTGCCTTGGGTTTGGCAACCTTTTTGGCTTTAGGCTTCTTCTCGGTCTTGGGTTTTTCTCCAAGCTTGAAGGAGCCACTGGCGCCTGTACCCTTAGCCTGCTTGAGAGCACCCTTCTTAACACCATTCTTCAGGGCCATTTTCAGGTGAGCGTTGACGAAATTAGCATCGTTGCCCACTTTGTAGTTGGCCATGATGTACTTGAGAATGGCCTGTCTGGATGAGCCCCCGCGTTCCTTCAGGGCTGAAACGGCGGCGCTGATCATGTCTATGTACTTGGGGTGTGCAGCAGGCACTTTAGGCTTTGTGGCCTTCTTCTTAGCTGGAGATTTGGCTGGAGCAACGGAATCTGCCATGGCTACTTCGGGATAATGGTTTACTTCTCGGGAACAGCTGGGAATGAAAATGGCTCGGTCACTCGCACTTGCTGCTTTTGTTTACACCGAGCGCGGACCCTCGAGAAAACATCCAGTTCGCCGAGGTCGATGTACGTTCATGTATCGTGTGTTTCAAGAAGGGTATTTGCATCCGCGCTGCAACTCGGCAGATGGATTTGATCGCAAAATATAGGCAGAGTCCTAACCTGCAGTCATCTCTTTAACATGTTATCTATTTACATTCTTAAATTCTTTCTTAATACTGTGCTCAAATTCAGGAAAATGGGCATCTGAACCTTTGTCTCGGAACTTCGTGGTACGATAAAAGTTGAAAAATGTGCTTGAAACGACGATTATCAGTTACGATTTAAGTGAAAAATTTCAAGAGATAACTTTAAAAATGCCCTTTGAATCTTCAAGTCTTGCAGATATTATCAATTCGCCCTCAAACTGTGAGAAATCAACACAGAAAGTGTGCCAAACGTGAGACAGTAGACGCATGGAAATATATATAATGACATCGAGATTCATTCAAAAGCCTTATTTTTGTCGTGGTTTTTCTGATTCATATTTCAGTGCAGAAGGCAACAATATAAGGAAAGGGGAACAAAAATTAACAAAAGGAAAAGACAGGAAAATAAATTAACGAGATGATTTACATTTAATAAAAGGTCCGACTTTAAAATTGAATTGTCCCAGTCTTAAACGGAAAACGGAAAGCTGTTCTCCGTGAGCAGATGATATTCTATAACTAACTTACAGCATACATGCATGCAAATGTCTTGTTTTGTTTAATATCATTTTATTTAATAATCATTTTGGCCTTAAAAAAACACAAAGACAATATATTTAGAAAGCAGCAAAATATATGACACGATTTTTTTCTTTTCACCTGGGGTATAACCTGGGGTATATCGGTCCAAATTATAGTGTAGTCAGAAAAGATTTTCGTCACTTTTATTTATTTTTATAATTATTACTATTATTAAACAAAATTCACATGGTAGATATACGTGTGCGTCTGATTTAGTTTATGAGGATGGACGTCTTTTCTCTCTATTGTTCAATAATTCTGAAAGATTTACATGTTACTTTAAATACATGTATTTATATACACAAACGTATAAACATTGATTAATTTGTATTTAATTGTTTAAAACTCAGAAATTCAAAACTCATTGATTTGCAGATTTTGCCGACGTTAAATATTCAACTGTGACCCCATTTTATCTTTGTTTTAAGAATGTAGGGAAAGGGCGTAATAATTACTTAAATTCTGTGCCCAATTATTCCCTTAAAAATTACACTGGACAATTTCAATTATTTTTCAAGGGCAACGGATTGATGTAATGATGTAAAATTGATGTACACCTGTTAAACTGTGTACTTATTAGGATAGGGAACTTAATAGAATTGTTGGCAATTATCAGAAGTTCTTCTCGTTTGTATGTAAAGTGTGTTTTCTTAAACAATAGTAGTCCATTCATGAGATTAAACTCATATATAGAATTTTAATTCCATTATGTGATGGCATGTATTGTGTGTTTACTATTATAATAAAATTATTCAAGTTTCGTTTCTTGGCGTCTGATCTTAGAGGCATCTTTTCGAAAAAATTGGGTGGCCGTGAAAACGGCCGTTTGGTATATACAAGTCGTACACAGACTTTTTACTTGCTGGCTGACTTCTGGGTCTTCTTGGGGAGCAGCACGGCCTGGATGTTGGGCAGGACACCACCCTGGGCGATGGTCACGCCGGACAGGAGTTTGTTCAATTCCTCGTCGTTGCGGATGGCCAGCTGCAGATGACGGGGGATGATTCTGGTCTTTTTGTTGTCGCGGGCGGCGTTGCCTGCCAGCTCCAAGACTTCGGCGGCCAAGTATTCAAGAACGGCGGCCAGATACACAGGGGCGCCGGCTCCCACTCTCTCGGCGTAGTTGCCCTTCCTCAACAGACGGTGGATACGACCCACGGGAAACTGCAGTCCCGCACGGGATGATCGGCTCTTGGCCTTTCCCTTCACTTTGCCTCCTTTACCACGTCCTGACATCTTTGATCTGTTTTAGTATTAAGAGTAGTTCAAGCTCAAAATTTCAAATCAACGAATAACTCTAAACACCCTTCGCCACCCTATTTAAACACGCAGGCGGATTGAACTGTCCAGCCAATCATCGCAATCGTATTTTACACACTTTGTCGCTCGCCGAAGAATAGATGTTTTCTCGAGGGTCCGTAAAGCACTTAGCCACGGTTATCCGCTGTCGTGATATATAAGCCGCGAGGCGAATATTGAGACTCATAGTTTTCGGTTGATTTATTCTAACCTGTAAACATGCCACCCAAAGTCGGATCTAAAGGAGCTAAGAAAGCAGTCACCAAGGCCAAGACCCAGAGAACTGGGGATAAGAAAAAGCGCAGGAAGAGGAGGGAATCCTACGCCATTTACATCTACAAGGTGCTAAAACAGGTCCACCCAGACACCGGTGTTTCCAGCAAGGCCATGAGCATTATGAACTCTTTCGTCAATGACATCTTTGAAAGAATCGCTGCAGAGGCCTCCCGTCTGGCTCACTACAACAAGCGATCTACCATCACCAGCAGAGAGGTCCAGACAGCTGTCCGTCTCCTTCTACCCGGAGAATTGGCCAAGCACGCTGTATCTGAGGGAACCAAGGCCGTCACCAAGTACACAAGCAGTAAATAAACTGCACACTTGCAGTCCACTCAAACAAAACGGCCCTTATCAGGGCCACACAAATTTTTCGAAAAGATTCCTTCTCTACAGTGTTGAGAAACAATATGGTTGTTTACAGAAATGTATTATATTTTTAATGAAAACTCGACTTAATAAATACATAGATTTTATTTTCTCTAAGAGTGCAAATTCTGTGCTGTTATCAGGAAACCCAGAAACATTGGGAATCTAGAAGTGTTTTATTTTTTTAATTAGTATTAGATACAACCTTTACTTGAAATGTTTCATTTAAATGGCAAATTTGCTTTTTTAATTAAAACGGCAATGTACACAATAAAGTAAGGAAATATGTTGCTTCACCTATCTTCAGAAGAGAGGGGATAATACATAAAACATATTTGTAATAGATGTCTATTAAAAACGGCCTTAAAATAAGGCTTTAAAAATCTAATATGATGAGCAATCTGACACTCAAACTTCCAAAAATACTGGATTACGAACATTATCTTTGCTTACCTTATTACTGAACATACATTAAGTATTACACGAAAAGTTTCCATAATTTTTTTTTTTTTTTTTTTTTTTTTTTTTTGCTCTGTGATAACTCTTTGAAAGCTAGCGGAGTTGAAATCTTAATATGCATGCAAATCTCGTGCGCATCTGCACATCTCTGTGTCTGACGCTAAGGAGGCCAAATATGCATGTAAATCTCGTGCGGCGGCTGCCTGTGTGTTTGACGGCAGTGGGCGAGGACTATTAAAACTGGCATGGGAGTAATTTGAATCTATGTTTACATTTTTAAGATCTAAGTCTACAATTTCATTTCACAACGAAATGCAAATGTAAGGAATCACTGTCTAGTCAGAATAATATGTCAGGGACATCAACCAAAGTGGTAAAACATGGGATAATTTATGCAAAACTAGACGGTGATTTCTTAAAAATCAATCATGTTTGTTTATTTATATGCATCTCTGCATGGTTATTGATAACAAACAAAATGGAAAATATAGCATATGTATATATATTGTGTTTAGTTTTTGAATGAATGAATGAAAGGTTGTTGATGCGAATTTTGCATTCAGTTCGCTCACCCTGTGCAATATTATAATTGTAAAATTTGTTGTTGTTTTTTTTATTATTATTTATTTCATTTTTACGTCTGTTGAGAGGCATCTTTTCTAAAGATATTGGTGGCCGTGAAAACGGCCGTTTGTTGTTGTGCTGCTAAGCTCAAGATGGCAGGGATGTCTAACCACCGAATCCGTAGAGAGTACGTCCTTGTCTTTTCAGGGCATAGACAACGTCCATGGCGGTGACGGTCTTTCTCTTGGCATGCTCCGTGTAAGTGACAGCATCGCGAATGACGTTCTCAAGGAAAACTTTCAGGACACCACGGGTCTCTTCATAGATGAGTCCAGAGATACGTTTGACTCCACCTCTGCGTGCAAGACGGCGGATAGCTGGTTTGGTTATGCCCTGGATGTTGTCTCTCAAGACTTTTCTGTGACGCTTAGCGCCCCCTTTTCCAAGCCCCTTTCCTCCTTTTCCACGACCAGACATTGTTATACACTCAGTAGATAATCTGCTGAAATGCTGTGAATCGCCGAGAACGCGGTATATATAGCGCCAATTAACGACGCGCTAGAAAACAAGGTATCTTGAAAAGTTCGGTAGTGCAATTTTCCACGTCCCGAAGGCAGTCAGTTAGCCTCGTAATGATTGGTTCTCGCTCTGCATTCATTCACTCATTTCCAGCTGTTGTTAAGCCTTGATTTGCATAATTACAGACAGTTTAAGTTCGTTCTATATTATCATAATCTTTTTTTTTTTTTTTCTTTTCTCTTTTCCGAGTCAGTTAATGAAAAGTCCATTTATTATTATTATTATTATTTTAATGTTTTATATTTTAAACAATGCCGAAAGCCGATAGTTCCGTTGTTTTTCTTTATTGATTTGATTTGAACATATTTTATTGTTAACGCAAAAGGAACAGAAACAAGTTATTACAACGTACAAGTTCTTCCCCTGGTGTTAGTAAAGTTGACACACTTAGTACAATTGTCATAATAATAACAGATTTAAGTACATAATATTTACATGTAAGATTAATAAATTAAAATGTTAATTAAATCTTCCAGATTCATTGATAAATTTGTGAACTGCTGAAAATATAAGACAGTTCATATCATAAGATATATAAAGTGTCAGTACCCCATAACAGCAGATGTGTGTCTATTTAAATCGATTCGTCCAGCCTTAAAAGTAGGTCAAAAAAGCTTATTTCTTGCTCTTATATATCTTTTACAAACAAAGAAAAATATGATAAACATCCTCGTTTTGACCACAAATACAGTTAGGAGATTCAATGATATTCCTTCTGTAAACATTTTTTTTTTTTTCTTTTTGGATTGTTTGGTTGTCCCCACCTATATTAAACTCAGAGTAAATGCAGAAAATGTTCATCCTTTAAAACTGCTTAAATATCTACACCCGACTATGCACCAGACCAGGCTGAATATCACACTTGTATACATATATCATGCAAAACACTGAACAGCACTGAGTAGACTCAGATTATCTTCACATTGTTTGCGCATCGATTCTGGTTCCACAAATGAACGAAAATGCTTATTTTGTATTTGGAACGACATCAAAAATGAATGTCATTTTGTTCTAATGTGTATTTTTTAATGTTGAGTTAAGAGAAAAATATATATATATGTTTCTATTTTTATGCAAGGCCTATTATGGTAAAATTTATTGATCTACTTCATTGCGGTTAAAAAAAACCTACTTTAAAAACTCTGTGTTTGAATGTTTTAAAAATTGTGTTACAAAGCCCCTCTGTAACATCTGTTGATCAATGTTTATAAACCGTTATCATACTTTTGTGGCAATACATGTATGTAATGTAAACGCCTCATTTTTTCGATATAACATTTTAATTGATGATTCCATTGAATGTAAGAATATAGATATATCGTATCGAACAATATCATAAGTTAGTCCCCCCGAACACATAGATTTATACATTTAAACACAGAAAAACTGAACTTTTTCTTGATGATAGGCCAGTCATTGAAATATTGGATTATATGATCAATAAGGTTGTAGGTTAAATATAGAATCATATCGATAATAAGTTTTTAACTGGCGTGTCTATGAATGTGTATTTTTGCAAGTGAATTATATTGTGTATAAAGAATATACGTTTCTGGTGTGATGTATTATGAAGGTATCTTTTCTAAGGAGTTTTGGTGGCCGTGAAAACGGCCGTTTTTGTTTGTCTTAGACAAGATTAGGGTGTTTAAGCTCGTTCGCCGCGGATACGTCTAGCAAGCTGAATGTCCTTGGGCATGATGGTCACTCTCTTGGCATGGATAGCACACAAGTTGGTGTCCTCGAAGAGTCCGACAAGGTAGGCCTCACTGGCTTCCTGAAGGGCCATGACGGCGGAACTCTGGAAACGCAGATCGGTCTTGAAATCCTGGGCAATTTCACGCACTAAGCGCTGGAATGGGAGTTTCCTGATGAGTAACTCAGTGCTCTTTTGGTACCTCCTGATCTCACGGAGAGCGACAGTTCCTGGCCTGTATCTGTGTGGTTTCTTCACCCCACCGGTGGCCGGTGCACTCTTGCGGGCTGCCTTGGTAGCCAGCTGTTTTCGTGGGGCCTTGCCTCCAGTAGATTTTCTTGCGGTCTGCTTGGTACGTGCCATCTTCTCTGTGTTCAGATCAAATGAATGATTGGTACGCCGTGTCAGGTATAATTTTATACTGTTCTGTGACCTGCGGATCCGATCTTACATTGAAATCACCGCGCGTGTAGTAAGAATGTTTTTAATTGGTCCCTGTGTTATACAAGGCACCTTATGATTAGCTAAGCACAGCGTGTTTCGATTGGTCTTTGCTGAAATCATTTCGATCCACATTTTGCAAAGAATTTTGTGCTTCTTTTTAAAAATCACGGTATTATGACAGTTCAATGTTTTTATGACTTATTGGACAAGGTGTGCAGCTAAGATATCAAATGATAATTCAAATGATTGAAATAAAAGATATACTCTTCCGTGGTTTTTTATTTATTTATTTTTGTTTAATTTATCATTTTATTATATTTTATAATTATTTTATAATTATCATTTTGTTGTTGGATTACCTGCTTTTCCCCACAGAGCAGTAGTTTCATCCTAAAAATGTCTCATTTAATGTATCAACAAACACAAACCTTTCTATTTTAATAAAATTAATGCTTATCAAAAAGGATTTTATTCATTAATATTAATTATTATTTTCTATCCTTTATCCAAGAATCAGTGTTTTATAAAAAGAGGTTAGACAGACTGTATATGTATTAATTTGAATATTTAATGAACTAGGTTTCACTTTGTGTGTGTGTGTGCGTCTTCTTTCTTTTCTTCCACGACTTTTAAAGATATAATCATATCCTGCACTTATAAGAACCTGTTTAGGGGAAAGGAATTTTGTAAGCAGCTTCTTGTGTTTCATGTGTTATATCTACAACGCACGAGGCTTGTGATAA